ATGTTAGGATTTGATATATATAACAACAGTGAAATCACCGATAATTGTAGAATCGTATAATTGTTTTGTAAGATGTATTGAAGAAAATTTTTTCGTAAATAAAGTTTTTGCATAATAAATTTGATGACTGACTAAAAATATTTTATAAACAATTAATATAATAATGAAATCACAATCTGCAAATATACTCATACCTGTTGCGTTACAAATTGTATTTCTGCTTTATATTCGGGATGAACTGCTGCTAGGTACAGTGAATTATTTATGATGGACTCTTCTATCTTATTTGCCCATTTATTTACTTTTGTGTGTAATTTTGATAATAAAAAAACTTCCAGTAATAAACTCAAATTAATTAATAGAAACGGTGTTGTTAAATACGACTCGCTATCGACCAAACCAAGTAAAGAAATCATCAACCGATATATTACCAACTCAGCAAAAGATTTAATTTCATATAAAATATTGTCGTGAATAGAATGCATTCTTGTCTTTAAATTATTTACATCTTTAATTACTCTCCAAAGAATCTTGTATTGTTCTTCAGAATATATTATTGGTTTTTCTAATAATATACTTAAATGTTGGTACGAATTCGCCACTCTTTGATAATAGAGGAATACACACTCATAAGCGAATTCATACATTAAAACATATATAATGCTGGAAAAATAATTAAAATATGCAAATAAGCGAATATAATTTAAAAAAATTATATTTAAAATATCGCGTAAACGAGATATCCAAAATGATGTAGTGTCTATGTAGGAAGTCAGCATAAAACGATGTTTAAACTCATCGTACGTCTGTAGTATATCACTAATCAATAGTTTGTTTTTATCCTTTTGCATTATTAAATTGAATATTAAACTAATTGAACGTATTATGCTTATCATATATAAAAACATATAAAATTTAATCTTCAATACTCGTCCTCTTTTTGTAAAAAATATTTCATACGCCGTTTCAACAAAAAACAAATATAGACAAAACCGAAGAATACATTTCATAGCGCATTGGTAATATTTTTGACCATATAAAGCATAACATTCCTCAAGACTATTGGTGGTTTTTACATAAACCAAATTACTGAATCCAACGCATTGTACACTTTTACATAGTAGTAAACTTTGCAACTTAAAGAATAGACCAGTTTTCAAACGATAATCCACAAAGCTGAACATTCTAAAACGATTACAGTACGAATGAATCCAAAAATGCTCTTCCAAAACTATTCATTATTTACGAATAAAGGTCTGCGTTTTATATAACTATGTATTACGTTAATGATAATGATAACCATAATGTCACCATTTACCATTAATTTAAATAGTGAAATTGCTTAAATGTAACAATAAAAATAATATAGAAAATGTTTATTAACTTTAATGGATTGTTATCATGACTATATTAACAAAATTTCTAATATTTTCTCAATACACGTATCCATGAACAAAGTACACACACAAAACTCTACAGAAAGAAGTTATACTCAATTTTATGTTACAAATACATTGTGACCGAAAAGCTTTCGGAAATTCTCATTTAAAATTCGCGCGCTGTATATTTTTCGATATTTTAAGTTTATGTAGTTTGGCAGCACTGTCCTTAATTACTATGCCAAAAATGAGCTCGATCTGTCAGACAGTTCGTTTACGGCAGCTGTTGAAACCAGTTCACCTCAGTAGTGCGTTGCGAAAAAAACAATGGAAAAAAATATTGAACAAAGAGTTTGCATCAAATTTTGTTTTTCGAACGAAATTTCGTGTGCAGAATCGTTGCGAATGCTACAAAAGGCTTATGGGGAATCAGTTTTATCGAAAACTCAAGTTTATGAGTGGTACAAAGCCTTTCAGGACTGTCGTACGACCGTCGAAGACATGCCGCGTTCTGGACGACCTTCGACCTCTACCACCGACGAAAACATTGAAAAGGCAAAGGAAATCGTGTTCAAAAATCCTCATGTGAGTGTTAGAGAGATAGCACGAGAGCTAGGCATCGGTCGTGAGATGGCTCGTTTGATTTTGGTGGACAATTTGTGTATGCGACGTGTCAACGCCCGGCTTGTTCCGATTCACCTCAATTTGTTCAACATTATCAACGATTTTAAGGCCAAACATTCAATAAATACCATCGAACAGCCACCGTATTCACCTGATCTTGCACCGTGTGACTTTTTCCTGTTTCCCAACCTCAAATTACCACTCAGAGGAACGCGTTTTGAATCCATAGAAGACGTAAAACAGAATTCGCAGAGGGAACTCAAAGCCATACCGGAAAGCGCCTATAAAAAATGTTTTGATGATTGGAAGAAACGTTGGCATTTGTGTATCGCTTCTAATGGAGCATATTTTGAAGGAGATAAAATAAATATTGATGAAGATTAAGAATTTTGCGTTTTATTTAAAATTTTCCGGAAACTTTTCGGTCACAATGTATACATATAAAAAAAAAAATAACTATAATTAATTAATTCAATTATTTCACAGGTGGTTTATGATTTCGTTCTAATATAATACAGCAAGTAAATTTCTTAATTAGTTTCACATTATTTTTATAACGTTATTTCTAATTTACCACCATCCCACCACCTTTCCTACTTCCATGAAATAGTGTCTTTTGTCCTTGCTAGTCTTCTGTGCATTCTTTGCACTGGTGTCCGGTTTTGGCCTTCTTTATCAAGTCTCTCCATTGAACGTGACTGCTAGCCGATATCGTACAAATGGGCGCCACTAGGACACGAGTGTCTATATCTACGCTATATTTTTAACTCATAGATATTCTGGCCATTGTCGCTTGGCATAAAATTTGCAACAAAGCGCTTTCTGAGCGTAATTCTCTATACTAATAGAAAGTATATGATTCACCAACTGCAGCCTAATAAGCTAATAAGCCGTTTGCTTGTATAAAAATTTAGATTAATTTGGTGTCGTTTAATGTCTGGAGGTGTTATTAGACTGTATTTTGTTTTTGATAATGAATATGACAGTTATCGTCAATAGACTATCTACATATATGTTATATGATTACAGATCTTTCATGACATGAATAATATTAAATCAATTATTTATTTTATTTTTAATAATATTTTATGTTAAAATTATATTTGAATATTAAAAAAAAAAACAACAATCCAGTCAAGGCGTAGAGGAAGGTTATGAAGAAACCTCGCAGTTAATAGAGAGCAAAAGTGCTCAAGTGCACTGACTTTAAAATATATATATAATTTATTAATTTTTGTAAATTATGTATATTAAATTTGAAGTTCTTATTCTTATTTAATAAATATATTAAATTTAATTTAATTATGTATTTTTTACAAAAATTAATATACATATATATATATATATTTACATATATATAAATTTGGCTAAACATTACCTCACTCTAAACTGTTAAGCGCAAGGATGCTTTTGTGTCATTCAATGCCTGTTTTTAATACTTAAAAAAGAAAAATTTTCCAAATTCTCAAAACAAAAAGAATCCATTCAGCCTTAACTAAATATATGACAATGCATAAAATAATAGTTGTGCATCAAATGCAAGGATATAAATTTACCCAATATTATAAAAAGAGACCTTGACTTTTGCTTTAAGGATTAAATTAGCTCTTCAGGTTAGAATATTTATAAGAGCAATTGTTTTAAGTGCAAAGAAAAAAAAGCTAAGAAAAAATAATCTATAAAATACATTTCTACCTTATGATGTTTAGATGCAAGGAAGCGAATAATAATCCAGTGAGAATTTACACATATATACATTTACGGAATTTTTTAGTTTGTATTTTAGGCATTTACATTGGAAATATATTGCAATTGTATTTGTCCGAGGTTATTTACAATATTTATAAGGATAAGGAAAGTATGCAATGATGATGTTCACATGCAAATATTTGTCTAAATAATCTAAGAGCAATTAGTTTAAAGCTCAGGTAAAAATATACCTATTGTATATTTATTATATATTTTGCAGAAAATAAATTAAATATTATTATCATTGATGGAAAAAACATGTCTTAAAATAAAAATTTATTATTAAATATTATTATAAAATATTTTAAATTTAAATAGGAATGGTGATAAAATTTACACAAAATAAATCTTTATACTTGAACCTCATTTCTTCGATTAAATCGTCATCAATAGCTTTATACCTTTCAGAATAGGGTTCGTTTTAGTCATTAATTTGGTGGACGAAAAATATTTCTGTTGCCATTTTTTCAAATTTTGAAATAAGTAGATACTAAATTTCACTATAATCTTCAAAATAACTATTTACGACAGATATCACTTTATTTGTCAGAATGTGTACCTATTGTAGGTATATCAGAGTTGAGGATCAAAAATCAGTTTAAAATGCAATTCGTAAACTAAAGCAACTAGCGAAGTTAGTCCCTATAAGTTGTGTTAGTGAAACAAAATTTACTTTAAGAATTTGGATTCGGTAGTTGTGACTTTCAGTTTATTCAATATTATACTTACATATATAGTAAAATCTAGTTATAGTACGACACTCTATGAAGTATATAATCTATCAATTATACTCCCTTGCCATCCCAAAAAACTGATCACATTTTTCTTCATATTCTTCGGAAGTTTTTTCATCTTTTTTATTGCACTGCTTTGAGTGTAGTGGTGAATCATTATTTCGCGTTTTGTAAATAGTTACGAATTTAACTATTGGAATAGTCTGTTCCAATAGACCCATAGAAATGTAAAGTGATTATGTTATTGGTCCACAGTTAATAAATGTAGGTTTCTACTCATATTTGTATACAATATTGTTCAAATGTAGTAAAGCAAAAAATCTATAGCGAGAGCAAGTTTTCTGATTCTTTTTGTATTATCACTCAATAACCTCTTTAAAAATCTAATAACTTCAATAACAAAACGAGCATAGATTAGAATTAATTCAAATTAAAAAAATTATTTTATTTAAATCTACTATAAAACAATATAACAAATAGAAATAGAAAATTAAATTTCAAATTATAATCTGTTGATAATTTGTATCGAAAAATAATATGAACTTTATGATAATATTTGAAAAAAGTTAAAGGCTTAACTGACAACAATACGAAGATATATAAATAGTTAGTAACTTATGTTTGCCACTGGTTTGGATTAACATAACTATGAGATACTGCACCACGTAATGAGTCAAGACCCCTATTTAATGGTACGGGCTTAGGTTTTTTAGCAGCTTTCGTTATCCATGCTTCCCATGCTTCAGTTGCTTTTTGTTTTCTCTCTTCTATTTCATTACGTTGTTTATTTATTTCTATTTGTTTTAGTAAACGCTTTTGTTTTTCTTCTCTTTCCTTATTACATTCCCATTCTAAAAATTTGATTTTTGATTGCATTGCTTTTAAAATAATGTTTTCTTTCTTACTTATATCCGTAAGTAAGTTACGTGACTCTTGAATTTTCTTTAAGGCATGAGCATGTTTTTTTTTATTGAACCATTCCTGAACTTTGGTCGCTGAAACACTATTTTGCAATTCCTTACGTTTACGTTTTTCCTCCTCTAATTGTTTTTGTTTAATAGTACGGTCCGTTAAAAGTTTGCTGTAAAAAATATTAACCGATGAAAAATTAACAGAAATATAATCAAATTTTATGTCTATTTTTAAAGTAAATTTAGTCTCATTTTGTTTTAATGTATTACTTCTTTTGTTCTAGCCACTGTGTATAAGCCAATTCAGGATTTCTAGCATCTCCATATATTTTATTACTGTCTCTGTCATATCTTAAAGCTGTACTTGAAAGTTGACGATTTGTTGGTATCTTTAAGGGAGGAATGATATCTTTTTCCTCCATATTGAGAAGAGAATTAACCTCTTTTTTATTAGTTGAAGTCGGTTCTAAAATGTTCTTAATATATGCAGCTGAGTTTACAAATCTTGAAATAGGATTTATTGTTATCTCCAAGGAAGACACAATATCATTATCTTCCATATTGACAAAAGAGCATGTCTCTTCTTTATTACCTGAAGTTGGTTCTAAACTGTTCATAGCCTGTAATTAGAACACGTGGAAGCACACTTTCGCGTCATATCACACAAACTGAAATATTTTTTTTCATATCAACAAAAGTGCAAGTCTCTTCTTTATTGTTTGGAATTAGTTCTAAAGTTTTCTCAATATATTCAGCTGAGTTGGTAAGCCCTGGAACATAATTCGTAGGTTTCTCCAAGCACGACACGATGTCATTATTCTTCGTATCGACCAGAGGACAAATATCTTCTTTATTGCTTGAGGTCATTTCTGAAAATTTCTCAATATACGCAGCTGAGTTTACAAACCTTGGAGGAAGAGAAGTTTAAATAAATACGTTCTTTTTAAAGAATTTTACAGTTCCCACCTCACGGTTGTGTTTTTATTTTGAGAACCAGAGTTTAGTTTTGTTGAATTTGCTGAACGTGTAGAGCTTAAAGAAACGCTCCTATCAATTTCTGTGCCGTTTTTATCAATTTCTGTTCTGTAAAATACCATTATGTAGTTGATCGATATGACAAAGAAAAATTTTTTGTATTATATGAAAGAAGGAAATGACAATAAATTGAATTGTATTTTGTTAATATTGTTAATATTTTTATTTTTTTTTAAATTAAAACTTTATTTATATATAAGCAAATCTGTAAAATGAGT